GTTGGTGATATTTTTCACAGCTTAATTGCTGCCTTAACAGTTTCTGAGTGGTTTTTTTTGGGGGGGGTTTTGGCAGCACTGTCTCATGCCTTAATGATGTCCACGTTGATGGTTCACCAAGGGTTCTTCCCACTCTTAATGGTGTTGAGTGGGAAGAAAAACAGGACTATCGGCCCTGTGTCCTGTGGAGAGCTTACCTGCCAGGATTTTGAGCTGCCTCTCTTGCTGCAGTGTTGGTGATGCTGGTTACCTGGCTTCTGAAGCTCTGCAGCCCCTTGCTTTCTGACCTGGCGTTTCACTGTGATGTGCTAGGCTTGAAGACCCTTTGCTGAGGAAGGGATTTTGGTTCCTGCCAGACCTTTGTTTCAGAAAGCATCTTCAGAGTGGAAGTGCCATCGGGCTGGTACTCTGCACTTGAGCTTGTCTAAAGCAGTGCATCAGAGCTCAGCCGTTGGCCTTTCCCAAAGCTTTCTGAAGGAAGAGGATTCTTTGCCCAAGAAGGAGACGGCAGCAGAAGCAGGATAGCCAGCCATGGGGTGGAAGTATTCACAACCTTTCATGGCCTTTTTAAGCCCATGTGTACATTCTGTGTGTTTTTCCTTGCGTTAAGGAGTTTGCCAGCATTTATTTTGCAGTCTTACATGAAGGTGAGCAGGTATGCTCTGTACCTGTTAGGAATCAGAATACATTCAAGGCAGATGTTAAAAGCTTTCTCAAGAGGAGCTAGAATTCGGTACAACAGTGAGAAAGACTGCAGCGTCTTGGCATAAGAGGTGACCTACAGCTCCGTCTAGGGGTGATGAAGCATCAGGACAACCAAGAGTATATATAATGCTGTGCTGTACGACTGCTAATTAAGGTCTGTTTTTGACACAGGAGATACTTAGGATGGGGAAAACTTGGCTTGCAGGAATTCAGTAATGAGTGAAATACCCTGCTTACCGGGCAGGCTGCTGGGGCTCTGGGTACAGTCAGTCATTGCTGCATGGAGATTCTTGAAACCTTATGCAGTGGCATGATCCCTGGGAGTACTGTGGACTAAAGAAACGTTAACAACTCAAAAGGAAAATGTATTTTAGTTAAACATAACAGAGGCTCAGTGGTCTGGGTTTGGTTGTTTGTGGATTGAGGAATGTCGGTGGAAGCAAGGTGCTTTACTATTTGAGCCTCAGAATGATCATCAGTTACGCTATTCCAGGAAAGGAAAGGAAAAGTCTCCCTGGTGAGAGCCAGTGCCTCCCGCAGGAGCTGTTTCTGGCCACACAGCCCAGTGACCACCTCAGCTTTCTTCAGGGGGCCTTTGAGCACTTTGTCACAGCAGAGACCTGTATCTTTTTGCAGTGAGCTTTGACTGAATATGAGAGATTATTTCCTCATTTTGGGAATTACTTCATTTATTTTCAGGATTATCTCACCCCATGCTTTTGTCAGATGGCAAAGCTGCAGCTGGGGGAGGAACAGAATCATCTTGAGAAACTGAAGCTTCTGATTTGAAATCTAGTGCTCACTGGGAACAGTGAGTGGCCTTTTCTTTCAAGACTCCCCATTTTCAGTATCTGTTGACTTGACTCTCATCTTCCCTCATCCTGACTTCTGTAAAAGAAAATCTCAGAGGGAAGTTGCTGGGATTTAGAAACTGTGGCAACAGAGTCTGTAGCTGACTTGCTGGTAGAGCTGCTGACATGAGAGTTTATTAATTTAAAAACTAAGGGAATGGTCCCCATGCACTGTAGAAGATATATCTTCTTGTCATATGTGTATTAGGTTGCCTCCTAGGTGGTATGAAAATATTTGTCCAGGATGTATTCAGTAGTTCCCAAGGTTAATCTTCCATGAACTAGGTAATTACTGGAAGGTGTTGTGTTGTGTACCTTATCAAGAGACTGGTAATACAATGAAGTAAAAAACTTACATATGGTGGAACTGTAACTAATGATTGTTTGGACTCACAAGTAATTGACTTTTTACCTAGTTAATTGTCATTTGATCTATCTCTCTGTAGATATCTATAGGTGCAGAGGAATGAATTCTCAAACTATTCTTCTGAGATTTTTTATTTCCTCAGCACTTTCTAAGTGTGTGCTGGTGCCCCAGCAGTTTCAAAATTTCAAACTGAATAGTCCACTACTTGAATCTCTCTTAAAATTTTTTAGTGTTGGTACCTAGTATCAACAGAATTTAGCTGTTGGAAGACTGCTATAATCCTCATGCAGATCTTTCCTGTGTACAACTACATGTGAGAGGAATCCATGGGTAGTTTTCTGTATCACCTGTTGTAGGTTATTTTGATAGTTGAGAAATCAGTATTCTCAAGTATGTTAGTTGTTCTAGGGTATTGGATACAAAATTATTCTAGCAAGATAAAGAATACACTGCAAATCCCTTTCCACAAATAAATTCATTTGTGCTGATTACTCCTTTGTGCTTTCATGGCAAAAGTTGATCCCGTTCTGTCTTCTTTTTGTTAGAAGCACCAGATTGCCTGTAACCATTTTTATAGTATTTGCATTAATTCTGCAACTCCGTAACAGGAGTAGAGCAGCTGTAATGCTCATACTTGCAGAAACGAAATCACTGAAAATCAGTTGTGGTGAGATAGTACTTGAGAAGACATGTCTTTCAAGAGTTAACAAAGTCCTGACAACAGAAACATATAACACGTAATATCTAACTCTGGTGTGCACTCATGATAAATAAGACTGCCAGTCCTGCAGACACCCTGCAGCAGCCGTGTTTTTGCAGCAGCAATAGCCCAACCTATCACAAGCATGCAGTTAGACCAACGTGTGGAGCGAACCGCGAGTTTCACCGAGTTATTTACACATAACTTAGGCATGTGGTTTTTTTATCACTTTGTATTTCCATTAGAGGGAAATGGTTTAGAAGTACACTGTGGTAAAAAGCAGGACGGCTGTGGTCTAACTGTCCTCAGCTTATCACCCCTTCTCATCACAGCCCACGTCCTCTGAACCAGTTGTGACTGGTTCTGTTTACAGTGTTTTTCCACTAATTAACCAAACCTTCCTGCAAACAAACACCCCAGCACCCAGAAGCCTTAGAAATAAATTAAAATTAAAAACTTAGTATGAACAGTGTATGTCTGTATAAATAAACCTCAGGGACATGTGAGCTGCTGCAGGTGTAAAACCTGCAACCAGGTCCTTGAGAAACCCCCGAAACTGTGAGGTGGTATCTATGCTCAGCATGGTTTAGGCTTGCATATATGCAGGGGGTTTGTGCAAAAATCTTAAGCTGTGTTTTCTCTCTGTTTCCATGTGCTGCATGGACAGCACCTTTCAGTTTTGTGTACGAGACATGACAAGGGGATTTGGGGATCATTTTAGTGCAAGAGAACTTGGTTTATTAATGCAATCAAGCATTTCTCTAGCAGGGATAAAACTGGGGGAGACCAGGACAGTAATATCAATGATGCTCCAGAAATCTACAGTAACTGCATTCCAAAAATACCTTTGTGGCTATTTTATTTCACTTTGATTGGAACCAAGCCTTAACAAATAACAGCAGGGGATATCAGCTGTTTCTTAAAGAGAGTTTGACTAAAGACTACACATCACACCTGTCTGCACATTGAAGAGTAACATAACATGGCATTGAAGGCAGGAATGAGTCGCATTGGCTTCAATATGCAGGTTGTAAAATAATGTGTAAGATATGCTGTTAGTAAAATAAATGTGGTTGTTAGAACTGAGCCTGACATACGTTCTCCTTCCCTTGCAATGGTGTGAGCCCCGGAAGGCAGTCCTGTTCTAACAGCACTGTATTTCCCCCTGGCTTGGCTTAGCTCTTCAACAGAAATAACGAGCTAGCTTTCATTGTTCTGTGTGCAAGTGTTCCTGTTTAATACATTGAAAATCAGAAAATGGATGGTTTTAAGGATCTTTGATTTCCTGAGGAATTTATAGGAACAGAGAAATGAATCAGGTTTTCTAGACGTCTTGGTACACGCTGTGGAAATGCTGGAGAACAAACACAGACCTCACAATGCACCCAGAGGAAAGGTTTTATTGCCCTCTACATCATTGTGGATACAGTGAATGTAAATGCTGCAGGCACTTATCTCCAAATATATGGCACTGTTCTCACCCAAACTGAGCAAAAGCTTTACCCCAATATGTTTACTTGGGATTTTTTCCACAGAAATTTGAAAGGAACTGATTTGTGGAACTTGGAGATGAAGAGTTTAAAGTCCAACATCTGAGAAATTTTCCTCTATTGTGAAAACACTTTATCAAAGCTTTGGATTTAAGATTTTGCTCAACTTAAAAGCATATCTCTAAACAAGATTATGTTTGAAAAAATGGTTTGAAAACCATTCTTTTCTTTCTTTAAAAACACCATGTGCAGGTTTTAAGTCTGTGTCACCGTGCTGGCATGGGGCTTGGTGTATTTCTTCAACTTCTGTACGTGTACACCTTTAGAACTGCTTTTATGCTCCTCTGAGTTCATTTAAAAATATTATTTTCACTTTAAAAAATTGTGTTTAATGGACTCCTAAAGCACACATCACTTCAGAATATTTAAGTCCTGATTTGGTGGATACGTGAGAGTTGCAATGAATCATTGAAAGTAAAAATTAACAAATACACATGAATTTACAGCGCAGGAATTCTCTTAATTTCAGCCTTAAGCGCAATGACAGAACACATCTGTGCTTTGCAGGTCAGAAACCCTGTTACACCTCTAAACGTCTGCATGCATAACTACTTTTCACATGATATTTTGCAATATGGACTTTGGATTAACCTCCAAGGTAGGTAACCTTACCACGCCACTCCAATACTCAAAAAAATTAGAAAAACCGGACGGATATAAAAACACCAGCAGTAAAGCAAAACAAGCCCTATGCACTAATGCCAGAAAATTATTTTGGGATTTCTTGTTGTTGTTACATCTAACACTGAGAGCAGGGGAGTTTATATGGATAAGTATGTAGCAAAGCAAATTGAAGATGATTTTGTAAGCTTTTCTGAAATGAGCATTTATGCTTTCTTTCCTTGGTGCTTGGTTGGAGCCCACATTCTGTAGATGAAGAAGAGTACGATGAGATAGTACATGGAGCTCTTCAGAAGAAGGACGATGTACACTAAATATGCCGCCCTGTGCATTAAGTGGTCTGTAACACACATAAGACAGAAAAGTCTTGTTTAATGTCCATATTGTACAACCTCCAAAAGGTGAGTAGAACTGGGACTGCGTAGTCTGTTTTCTGCTGCAATTACATTGATTCCAGTGGACAGTGTATAAACAGACAATGTCTGACTGTCTGTTGAGTGGGTTTGCACTGCTAATAAGTTCTAGACTGAGCAGGTTTCCTAGCACTACACTGCCTCTCAGTGCTGCTGGGTTATTATTCCCTGCCAAGACAAGAACATATTTCTAGTGCTCCCAGACTGATTACTGGTAGCACTGTGTTTGCTTGAATCCTTCTGTGTTGGATTTCATGAACATAAGTGCTCACAATTCTTTCTAAATCCCAACTCAAGCTAAAAGAAAATTTCTTTGTCCAAAGTGCTGGGCAATTTCTAGGCTGATGGAGCATCAGCTGAAGCATTGAGCATTTAACTACTTCAGATATTTTTAAAAGTGGCACTTAAGGCTGGCTAATAATCTAGTAGCCTGAACAGCATCTGTAGCATCCTAATAAAGCTCCTGATAAAGCTACCAAAAAAGGTAGGAGAGCCCCTTTTTATAATCCACAACAGAAGTTAATTCAGAGTAGCACTGAAGCATTTTTAAGTTACAGACCCCAGATTTAAAAGATTTTCTGTATGCTATTTAGAAAGATTATTTTCATGATATTCTGAGCGTATGTAGCAATATCTAATGCTTGCATGACATGCATCGCTTTCCAACATTTTAATACATTTTGATTACCTCTAATAAAAACTGTGCTGTTTCCAGGATACGTGCTGCAGTCCTCTTGAGTCTTTGTAGGATCTAATGGAAAGATAGTTTAAATGCCCCAATTAGGCTTTTCTTTAATTGTAACAAATATGAATCGAGAAATAGGGGAAAAAAAGAGGGAGTACAGCAACAGCGAAATGGGAAGTTAGTATTAAACAACAACAAAAAGTGTTTAAATCTGTCCGCAGAGCAGATGTTCACAAGTAGCGCTCCTTTGCAGAGAGAATTTGAAGGGGGGAAAAGCTGATAGAGAAATGAGTGGGTATTTGTTGCTGTAAGTGGGAGGATTGCCTTTGCCCTTTCAGGAATGTGTCCATTAGGCTGTTCCTTGGCAGAGCCTCTTTTGTTTGGAATTGCAGGCAATTTCACCACCTGATGTTGTCACTGAAGTAGCTGGAGTCTCTTTGCTTTCCCAACGTACTGTTATTAGAAATACAGAATAATTTACATCGGAAGGGATCTCAAATAGTCTGTTACTTAATGGTTGCTCAACACTAAAGAATAATCTTGAGGAGAGTATGATCTAAGGTTCCTCTGTTGGGAATTTGCTATTTTGGTGTGGTTGTTCTCAAAAATAACCCCTTTTTGTGCCTGAAGAAGCAAATTTGTGTTTGTTCTTGGTTATGGTGTTTGTATGCATTGATACATGGGGCTTAAAGACATTTTAACATTGCATTTTATTGCAAAGAAAAAGTGATGTCTATAATAATACATAGAATACAATTTTTGACATGTAGTATATACCTTGTGTTGGCAGTGAATCCTGTTTGCTTTCATGCTCATACTTGCAGTAGTAGTTCTTGTCTTTGTTCTCCGCTGGTACAGTTAACCAGCTGCCGATCGAGTATTCATCCTCTTTTGTGGGCTTCCAAATGTTTCCCTTTACTACGTTGTCTGTTACCTCTTTTTCTCCATCCGTCCATGTCACTCGAATAACTTCTGGGTAGAATTTCTCAATAAGGCAAACATACGTTATCTGATTTTCATGTTTCTTCTGCAGGATTTCAGCGTTTACTGGGGCAGAATTTCCTTTGTCTGGATTGGTTATTGGAGGGGAAAAAATTAACAAAATAGAGAGTTGGAAAATCAGTAGTGTACAGCAAATAAATACACAGCCACAAAATACAAATTCTGAAGATTAACAACCTAAAAGTCTTATTAACAAATGTTTTAGCGCTCTTGATTTCTTATGAAATACTTAGGATGGGCACAGAAATGTCTCGCGTATGAAAGGAATTTTAGGTAATAGGATGGATGAATTACAGCTGTTTCCATCCTTGAAGTAAAAATAAGTTTTTGGCAAGCTGGATGAACCTGTAATTCAAACACACTTTATATTAAATATTATTTCAATGGACTCAATAGCAAGTTTTAATTTTCAGTCAAAACCAGTTACAATACTATTTAGAATAATTGGGAATAGAATATATGACTTTTAACCTTATTTTTAAATGTGTTATTTTATAGAGAACTAAAATGAATAGAGGATTTTATGAGTAAGGTACAGAAAATCAAGCTCAAAATCAGAATACAAGACTCAATTCAAATATTCTGAACTCATTTTTGTTTAGATAATATAGAGTTGTACAGAGAATGTTTAATTTAAGCTTTGATACCAAGCCATGTGCATGGAGAAACATTATTTAAGTCCTAAATTGTTTAATGAATACTAAAATCTGGACCTCTTTGTTCATGCTCCTTGTCAAGCAGCACATCTGATAGAGGAAGAGTAGAGTATACTAGGTTTACCCTTTAGTACTCTAATACTAGAGTAGATTAAAAAGTATCTCACAAAAGATTTCTTGACTATTTTATTAGAAAAATAAATTTAAAACTGGTTATTTAAAACCTTAGAAACCCACTGAAAAATGTTTGAAAAATTATTTTTGAGAAACATTAAGAAACTGAAATATTGTTGAAGTTATTGATAATTTCCCTTGAAACTGAATTAGAAAACTCCAGGTGACTACATGAGAGCCTATATTACACAGCCTTCCAAGCAGTACTGCTGTCTGAGTGTATTTGTCTACACAAGTCTTTGATAATTATTAAATAACAGGAATAGTTCTTGAAAGAGCTTTGTTCATGTATTTTATAAGAGGAATTTAATGTCATTTTATAATGCTTATGCAAAAACAACTACATGGAATTTTTGTCTACAGAATGTTAAAGGTAGACCACCTGCCTTTCAAATCTTTGCAGTTTTACGTCCTCACTGCTAATTAATGAACATCTGCTCTATCTAATTAATTTTTTAAAAAATGATATTAATTTTGTGGAGTTTTGGGGGGGGGAAATAGGCAACAAAAATTTATTTTTGCCATTTTTTGGGAAGACATTGTACGTATTTACCAGGTGAAGATCTTTGTAAAGACAGGCAAATGGAATCACAAACTGCTCTGGACCCCAAAGGTTGGCAATGCTCTTCCTTTAATACTAGATTTGTTTAAATGTTTGAATTAACACATCTGAAAAGGAAAAACCAAAACTAAACTAAAGCAGAAGAACATGTTATATCTAAATAACATTTCTGTACCCAAATAGCATATCTATCCATACTTTGACTTTCATAGAGTTGTTGTATGTGATGTGCTTTGTGCAACATGCTCCTCCATATGGACGTATGTGAACATATTTTAAATGAAAGGTGAGCCGTTTCCACAAGCTAACTGTAGGTAATCTCCATTTCATTTGCCTCTCTGGATTAAACCTGAAGTTATTAGGAGGAATCCAAATCATCCAGATTTTGTCCTCACAGAGAAGCCGTTTTGATATTATTAAATTAGATAGTAAATTTAAGAGTTTTAGTTAAATGGGAGCATCTGCAGTGTGTGCACAGGAAATGCTCATGGCCATAATTTTTGTCTATGCTTGCCTGCAAGTGAAGACTAGATACAGTTTTCAAAATTTACTTTTGTTATATAGAAGGTACTGCTTAAGACTTTTTTTTTTAAGGCAACAGAGAGATTTTAGGTGTTAATCTCCTCACACCGCTCTTTCTCTCTAGAATCCTGTGTAAATCTCTGCCATGGAATTTGAGCAGCTGGATGCACAAGTTTTAAAGTATTGTCTGTCTGAGTGCTGCAGTTTTCATGCATTGTAAGAAAACACATTAATATAAACATGTATTTTTGTCAAAAAGCTTCTAACTTTCTTTAAACGATCTGACTATTTTAGAGCAGTCTTTGACATTGCATCCCCCCTGTAAAACAATGTTGTGATTCTTTGAAGTATTTCATACTCGGTGTTTAAAAACAAAGCTGACCAAAGCATAAGGCTGCCTACCTTCAGAAAGATAACTGTTATATTATGTATTTCCTTAATTTTGGAGATTTGTCATTCAAATGAAGATGTGGACTGAGTTCTGTTGTACCAGAACTAAAATTACTAACAATTTTATAGTTCTCTAACATTAATTTAAGGATTAATTTTGTCTTCTTTATATATCAGTCCTCTCAGGGATGCAAGTTTAAATTAATTTCTAAAGTGATTTATTTTTTCCAGAGTTGTATATAATCAGAAGACCATGATGTAGCTCCTCTCCCAGTGACATTGCACGCTGCAAAGCCTCATGACTATTTTAGATGTTTCTTTTAGATTTTCAAAGTTTAGTAAGCTACCCTGACTAATTTCAGTAGGCTAAAATTTATTTGTCTAGTTTGATGTTATTCCCTTGGATTATCAAATCTGAATAGAGAGGCAGAGAGAGATGCTTCCAGCTGCTAGTTCATCCTGCCCATTTTAGAGACTTCTATTAAGATGGAATAATTTCCACTTCTGGAATTGCTAATGTCTCCGTTTACTGTAAAAAGACCCTAGGTGCTTAGCTTAAATGAAACACTTAAATAATATCACAATACTGAGGAAACATATTGCTTGAATAACTGCAACTGTGTGCATGCATGGGAGAGTCTCATGTACACACAGAGGTTAAGTGGATGTCTGGAGAACAGAACACATTAAGTTTTGCATATATACATTTTTATGTATATGTTTGTCTGTGGAAAGAAAATAAAATCTCTATAAACTGTAGGCATGTTTGTGGAAAAAAGGATGAAAACTTGTAGAATTGGCTGTAGATTTTGATATATTTTCAGGCTGATCTACAAAGACGTTGAACTCAACAAAGCAGTTTACACTGGCTTTTCTGGGCAGATGATCTGATACTTTATGAAGAATTTTAAGGTCATGAACCTCCACTCCACTGTCATTTTTGTTTTAGTTAAACTTTCAAAAATGTTGCTGCTTACTTTGTTAAACAGTTTTCTAAGGCAGGTTTTAACAGGAACATGTCTTACTTTTTAAAATACTATATAAGAATGTGCAGATATATTTTAAGCTAAAATCTGTCTTCTTCTCTCTTGTAATAATGCAATGAGTCTGCAAAACATTTTGCAAATAAAAATTCTGGGGTTAGGCTTGTAATCAATGAGCTATTAATGAATTTGGGTTCCAAATATGTTTTTATAGATTAACTGTCGAAAGTTTTCTTAATGAAAGTCCTCAACAGTTTCTTTACAAGTATCTATAAATAAGATTTATAAATAAGGTCAATGTGTTCTTAAGATGAAATTTTAATTCTTATTAATTGGATGATCCCACAAAATGGAGTAATTTTTTCTGATACTCAAAGCCATTGGGAGCTGAGAGCACTCAGCACACTTGGCTCATAAACAACGCTCTTGTCCTGCTTGCCAGTGACTTTGGGTATTATCATCGATAACAACAAAGTATGGTTCTGACCTACTGTGAGCTTCCCCACATACCTTAAAAAGCTGTTAACCTTCATTCCAAAGCTTTCCCATTACAAAAATTTAAAAAATAGGTCTTTGAAAACACTTACTGAAGACGATGAGTTTTGTGCCCGAACCAAAGATCTTATTGTCCCCCCACTGGCACATTCCCTTACAGAAACTGATTGGGATGTTTTGGCCAGACAAGGACCAGATTTAACAACCATCCTATGAACAATAAGAGCCTATGCATTTGGCTACAGGAATGTAGAAAATTCTAATTAAATCTTAGCTAATGGTGCTATTCGCAAAGAGCCTTTAGTGATATTTACATTAAATTCAGTTTCAAGCTAATCATAGAATCATAAAATCCTTAAGGTTGGAAAAGACCTCAAGGATCATCAAGTCCAACCCACACCACCTAACTCACTAAATCATGTCCCTAAGCACCACATCTACACGTTTCTTGACCACTTCCAGGGATGGTGACTCCACCGCTTCCCTGGGCAGCCTGTTCCAATCCCTGATCACTCTTGCAGTGAAGACGTTTTTTCTGGTATCCAGCCGAAACCTCCCCTGGCACAACTTGAGGCCAT